AGGAAGTTGTGCGTTTTTGCACCCATGTTTGCAGCACACAAACGAGCATGAACATGATGTGCTTTTGCAGACCGTGCAGGTGTGAATGCGGGGTAAAAATCTGCATGAGCAGCAGTCCTGACATGGCACACTATAGAACAACCATAAACAAAATCTGACCATTTACCAATAAAAAAAAAAAGAATATTGAACTCCAGTTATTCTCAAGCATGAGAGGAGTATTCTGGAAGAAGAATGTCATCTATCTGCTGAAGGCACTCCTCCAGCCGTCCTTAGCTGAAAGTGGCCATACATTCCCTGCAGCCTTGCTCCCCCTCCGCCCTGGCGGACTAAAGACCTGTGAGTCACCACGTGCAATACAGTGTATAGGATGTGATGATGCTGAGGGACATTACACCACGGGAGCGAGGCTGCAAGGACTGGTAACAGCCAGCTAACTCCGTGGTTCGGATAAGTAAATCCCTTTTTTTTTTTTCGAAATCTACTTGCTGTCCACCCTTCATAAATAAACGGACGGATGGCAAGCCCTTATCAGTGCCGTTAATGTACCCGCTTTTTTTTTTTTCTGCTCAGGCGTGCACCCCCCAGTGACACTGACAGGTCTAAACAGCCAGGAACAGCTGTTAGACGTACAAGTGATCGGCAGGTCTATAGCTGTCTGATCGCTTATATGTGCTGCCCTGCAATGTGCGCCCCCTTCCTGCGCCGTTACCTTCCATCCCGGGCTCTACTGTCCCCTCTGCGGGGAAAAAAATAGTGCATGCAGCTTTTTTTCTGACTACTCCATACCGGAACGCAGGCACTGATGTGCCATATGTTCCAGTGCTGGCGATTGCATTGCGGCCGGAGGACTTCAATGCAACGCCACGCCCCCTCCTGCCCCAAAACAAACTGAGCCGGCCGAAATGGGATCCAGTGCATTCTGGCACCAATCGGGCTGGATTGCACGGTCGCTGGTATAAACTAGTCCTGAGGGTTAATGGGCATATGTATTAAATTTGTCAGATGTCGTGACCACAGCCCCCGGTGATGCTCTTTTGGATGAAACACATTGGGTGGAGCTGTGGTGAGCATGATGCCAGACCCCCACATAAACATTCTGGGGTGTGCGGTTTAGACATAGTTCTATGAAATTTGAAAAAATTATCATGCTCTTAGTTTTTATTTTATCTTTTTACGTGCATCCATTTGGGGTCATCAGAAGCTACCAAACCAAAGAGGATACTGCCTGGGATCATTTTTTCATCGGGAGTTTTCCTTGGCAGCTGTTGGCTGCCAAGGAAAGTCACAGCACCTTTCAAAAATGTGCAAAATCGTGAGGAACCCCAGTGTAAATGTTAAGTTGAAGTGTGGCCCCTCCTAAATCCATAACAGACCCGTATCCCAGATAATTTAGGGGGGACCCCAAGCAATAAAACAAAAATAGTTTTTTTTTTTTTCAGACACGCCACCTTTTTAAAAGTGTGCAAAATCGGGACCCCTAGTGTATATGTAAAAATTATGTGCGGCCCCCTCCTAAATCCATACCAGACCCTTATCTCAGATAGGGGTCTGGTATGGAATTTAGGAGGGGTGGGGGAACACCCATCAATGATCCCAAAAAAATAAATGGAGTTTTATTTTTTCAGACATGGCACCTTTTTAAAAGTATGCAAAGTTGTGAGGAACACCAGTGTAAATTATGTGTAGCCCCTTCCTAAATCCATATCAGACCCTTATCCCAGATAGGGGTCTGGTATGGGATTCAGGCGCCTCTTCACCTCAGAAGCCTGCCTACACCATGGAAAGGCATGACACTGTGCAAAGCTTTCAAGGCACAGCATCCTGTTTGAGCGGATGGTGTAGACATCTGGTGAGTGTACTTTGTCATCTCTAGAGAGGGACACTAATTTGTCTTATCTGTCTGAAATTTAGTTTAAATGACTGTGATGTGAAGTTGGTTCAACAGATTTTGTTTTCTCAATATTTTGTTCATCTGGCGAACATCTGTAGTGCACTCTGTTTTGAGCCTCACACTGGCTGTGGCGAAATCTGTGCCAATATATCGTGTCAATTTCAGATTTTCTGTCCCACTGACTTGTTGCCATCTTAGACTAGTTTTCCTATGATCATGGCACTGCCTGGGCAGTTAGGGAACGTGCCACAATTCAGAGAAAGCGACTGGGTTTTATAAACTGTTCACATGGCCATTCTGGCAGCACAGGGTAAAGCTGTAGCGGTATAGGCTTAGTGCGTTTCTAGATTTTGTTTTGTTAAAGCTGAAAAAAATCATCTAAATTCAAGGTGCAAGTGTTATTAGAATCCAGGAGTGCTTTGTACATTTCTTCCAGATCTGTGCAGTAATCCAGCGTGCAACTTTCCCTCTGCGCCGGAATTTTCTATAGCAAAGACCTGTCACTGCTGCCTGCTCTTCTTGTGCAGGGTGGCTGGTCTTGTCTCTGCCCCTCCTGTCATTTCCTGCAGGCAGCCTGTAGTGGGTGGGGCCTGCTGAGCCCCTCCCACAGCTCTCCTCATTACACAGGCTATGTACAGCACAGAGATTATATCACTGTTTCTTTTTCAAGCTAATAACTGGGTACCTAGGTTATTTAAATATGTTGTGGAATATATTTAAATGAATGTGTATGTGCCCAGACTTCAGCTTTGATGTATTAAATACGATGACTGTAATGTGCAAAGTGAAATAACAAATGGCAGCCATTCAGATTTCTTTTCCCTTTAGATTGCAGGATCTTGAGGGTAGCCTGCTATCTGGTTCATTGTTTGTTACTTTATGTTAATCCTTGCATGTCTGAGCAAAGTGCCAAGCAACATGTTGGTTTTTCATAAAGGCTAACATTTTACAACAGTAAGTTTTTATTTTATTATTACAGTATTCATACTTTAGTTTCTTTATATTCCCATCCTTTTTGTATTCTTTGCCTTATTTAACCTCTTAATGACTTGCAGGCAGTAGATCTACAGCCCATACAGAGAAGTGTCCCTGCAGAAAAGCTGTAGATTGACTGCCTCTCTTTCTCTTGGTATGGCAGTTCCTGGATTTAGGATGTTTCTGATAACCTGTGTTCCAAGAATGTTCCAAGAATGTTCCCTGGACCAAATCAGAGCAGATAGTGGCAACTGGCCAGCAATCATGTGATAAACACTTCTTTCTCTATGCATCTGCCACCCGTTGTTCATTCAGAGAGCAGAGAAAGACAATGGAGTGTATTTATATATAAATAAAAAATTGCAAAGCCATTTGTCCTGCAAAAGTTTAATGTAGATGAGCTCTTTTGAAAAAAACAAACACATTATTTCACATGTATTTTCTTTCCAGGTCAAATATAATTCATTTGGAAGTATAGAGTGAATCAGGAAAATACCACATTATGACTACCCAATGGAGCAGAGGATCATAGGAATGTGCTATAACGCTTAGCTTCATTTAGTGGTCATAATGTGGTATTTTTCTTCACTGTAATCTTATGAATGAATTGTATTCAATCTGGCAAGGACATATACTGATAACATTTTTGCCCCCCATTCAAACAAAACAAATGGACATGCAGTTTTACAGGATGAATTCTGAAAAATGATGAAATGAAAAACACTGCAGATTTTTTTTATAATCACATCCTCAAGTGTTTCACATTGATTGTAATTTTTTTTTATATTGTATCAAGATTTAATAGAAAAGTGTTTTTATCTTTTTACATTAGTTACTCCCCCCCTCCCCCCCCAATAAAACACACACCTAAACAGAAACACATGTATGCTAATTTTACATCCAAAATGTGAATTAAAAGAGAACTCTGGGGTAAGTGGTTTTCCCCATAGTTCTTTTAAGTGTCACGGGAGGACATATACTAACCTCATCCCGTGACCCAAAGCTCATTGTATACCGAGATCCCGGCAATGCTGTCGAGATCCACCCAGCTGCATGATTGATAGCTGGCTCTGCCTATCTAGAGGCAGAGCCAGCTGTGCCCGCCCCCTCACACGTCCGTTCCTCCAGTCAACGCTGGAGGATCGGACACGGGAGGGGGGGGATCCCTGCAGGGAGCCGTGATTGACAGTCACTGCTCTCTGCAGGGAGATGATCGAGAAGTGAGCGAGCGACGCTATGTGTTCGTTCATTTCCTGATCTATTGAGACGACGTGTGACAGTTTCATTGTCACACGTTGGCTCAAACTATGAGGATGAGTGATTTTTAACTCTCCTCATACCGTAGTTCTCCTTTTAAACATAAATGATTGGTTTCACTGAAATTATTACAGGAAAACATTTTAAATTGAGTTGTATCTGGTAAATAAATATGATTGCTGACAAATACTATAGAAGACGTTTATTGCTTATTGTTGCACAATTTTAAAAAAAAATTCCTTTTTTAAAAATGTTAAATCATTTCTTATCAAATGATGGCTATCTCTGGCCTCCAAGAAATTTAGACAAAGCAGCTCCTAAAGTTGTTAGAATGCAAATGTAAACATGGTCATACATTAAAGTTTACTATGGTAATAAAGATATGAAATGGCCCCAGTCATGAAGAGGTTAATTCACCTGGTAATTTGCTGCATGCTTACCATTAGTCTTGTAGTGTAAAATAAAGTATTGTACAGCATTTAGGCATATGTAGCTGCTCTGATTGGACCAAAGCTACCATGCACTTCTTATATCCTCATTTTTTATCTTTTTTTTTATTATTGTAGCCAACAGCATATTTCCATTTGTAAGGGCTCATTTTCAAGGGCAGAGGGGTCTATACACTGTAAACAAATAAAAATCTGTATCTCTGCTCCTGGGAGCCAGGCCCACCTGTACCCTGGTAAACGCTGCTCTAAACCTATACTTGTGTACAGATACAGTTGTGCACCCTGGACACAAACAGATGTTTTACTGTCTACAATCATCTGCGCCCATGTGAATGAGCTCTTAGAATAATGTGATTGGTATGGCTTGGTAAATGTGAATACATGCTCATACTTCTCTCCTTTTTTTTTTCTTTTCTTTTTTTAAGGACCCCGGACTGTGTTTTTCTGGGCTCCCATAATGAAATGGGTAAGTCTTGGTACTGAATATTACAGTTTTATTATCTTCTACCTCCGTGTTTATCAACCTTTTTTCAGTCACGGCACCCTTAAAAAAATATGCAGAGCCTTGAGGCATCCCAGTCTAAAATGCAAGGGGGGGTGTGGGGGACCCAAACAAACACATGAAAAAGTGGGGTTCCTAAGAATCCCTCCTTTTACATCAGAGTTCCCCATTCACATCAGAGTCCTGCCATCACAAATTTGGAGGCACCCCTGAGGAAGCCAGAAGGCATCCCAATGTGCCAAGACTTCATGGTTGAGAAAGGCTCGTCTACATATTAACATTAAATTGTTCATATTTGAAAACCTGCATCAGATTTTCCATTAAAATAAAAAAATTTTTTTAGTACCCACAGTATAGGACCACTTGAATGACAAAAGCTAACCGTTATTAGCCTAGCTTCTGGCATTAAAATGGCCCTATACTGTAGGTTTAACTAGCCCATAAAAAGCTCATTATGGTAATGCAAATGTATTGTGGATACATATAAATCAGAAATAAGTAGCATTATCACTAAATCTTTTACTGGAGCACTGGTTATGTGACCTGAGACATAGGGTTTTGAGGGAGTTAACACTCCGGCAGAGCCATTCAACGGCTACTCGTATAGCGGAGATCATGTGACCAATTTATCAGCATCGAGACCAGTGGAGAGGAGAATGTAAAGATTCTGGCGAACACTACCTGGCTAGTTGCATTTATGAGATGGGGTCTGTTTTAATTGCTGTAAATGTTGTCACAGTGTATGCAAAGTAGTGTACACACATGGCAAAAAAAAAAAAAGAAAAGCTGACTGGATATTTTTTAGTAAATATACCAACATAGATCAGCCGTCATAACAACGGGACCATGTATTACACACATCACTGCAAATACAGGTGGTTGGCAGATGTAACAGAGAATACTACATGTGGTCCTGTGATACATCTTAAGAGAGAGGACTATTATGGAGAACTTAGTGGAATCAGGTTGGAAACAACCGCAATGTAAGATAACCAATGTCCTCTCGGCCCAAAAATACAACGTTCCATATTGGTGTGGGTTGTAAAACATAATAACACATAGTCCCAGAGAGAGGAAAAAGAAGGGGGAGGGACAGAAAAGGCGCAAATAAGATATAGGATAGAAAAAGGGGGGTGGATCTCGCTACTTCGGTTCCACTCCATAAGGAGCATAAACCAATATAAAGGCAGCCGTATTAAGCCCTCCGGAGGTTAACGGCCTCACAAGCTCAAGGGGACGTCCTCATATGCCACAGAGACTAGACTTGGCCATGCAGGGGTGATGGAGTTGTATCCATGGTACCCATACCGGGGGAGACCCAGGTTGTCTATGAACCAGTATGCTTGTCAGACGTTCATTTAGCATGATATTATCCATTCTGGCTATAAATTCCCTGTAAGATATTTGTTGCTTCTTCCAATTACCAGCCAATGTTAACTTTGCTGCTAGAAAAATAAAATGGGAAAGTGCTTGCTGATGTTTATTTTAAACCAGGCACATTAGAATGAAAAAGAGCACACTTTAGATCCTGTACAATGCGAACTGGGAACAGTTTGGACAGTAATTTAAAGATTGGTGACCAGAAGATGGTAGCAAAGGGACACTTCCACCAAATATGAAGCATGTCACCTAGAATACTGCACCCACGAAAGCAGCAGCCCGAAAGCGTCACACTCATGTGCGCAGTACGGGAAGGCACCATGTACCATCTCATGATCACCTTTATATGCCGCGTTCGTAATATTAAGAGAGCAGCCAGCCATGTTACGCCACATGTGTCGCCAATCATCCTCCGCCCAGGAGGCACCTATGTCTGAACATACCGCTATGACCAAATCCTGGACCATTCTGATTAAACAAAGCTTAAGCACATCCTGGGAGTTTTAAAGCTTACCTGCACTATCTTGCCTCATGCGAATTTCTTTTAGTCAGTAAGATAGCCCATCATAGCCATTGGCCAACAGGAGCGTGTGGAAGGCGGAAAGCAGTGGTCAAGTTTGGATGCTACCATGAAGTGCCAGAGCCTTTCCTTATCAGAGTGGTGCAGTATTTGGTCATGGTGGGAATTGTCCCCTGCTACAGATATGTGCAAACTTCTAGGTGTTTTTTTTAAGGGTCTTTAACCCCTTCACGACTGACGACGTACAGTGTACGTCGCCGGCATCGGGGCTGTTTAAACTTGTAAAGCCGACTGTTGCCAGATCGCTTCTACAGTCCCGTGAAGGGGCCGCCCCCCGCCCGACACCCCCGCCGTGCTTCCCTGGCTCCGTTGCCCCTCTTAGGGGCCCGGGACCGGCTTCTCTTGTGTCGGTGGGGAGGAGGTGGACGATCCTCCGTTCGTCGATCCCCTCCCCGTTCTATGGGACCGGAGGCGATGTAGATTGCATCACTTCCGGTCCCATAGCTATCAGTGCTGGGCTCCTGAAGCCCAGCTATAAGCTATTGATGTGAGATCTGCACTTCAATAGCTTATTTGGAGTGTAAAGGTGACACTGGGGGTCTTTTGGACCCCCAGCATCACCTTAAAGAGTACCTGTCACCACCATCTGCTATCACATGGGGGGCTTGTAAGCCCCCCTATGTGATAGCAATTAAAGTAAAATTAAAAAACAGTTTTTAAAATGAAATAAAATAAATCAAAACATAATTTTAAAAATGTTTAAAGTCCCCCGCGAGCACATGCGTTGCCACGTAAACACGCGTCGGGTGCGCCTACGTATGAAAATGACGAACATGTTGGGTATCGCCGCACGCCGGAGAGAGAGCAATAATTCTAGGGCCAGTATTTTTGGGCATCTCTAAATTGATAACCTGTGGGGGCTTTTAAAGCATCGTCCATGGACTTTTTGGGGTACTGAGGTTTGTTTCAGAAAATATATAATGTTTGGGGGTTTTAAGTAATTTTCAGGCCTAAAATGTGGAATATAACATGAGTGCAAAAAATTAAAGAAAGGCTTCAGTCATGAAGGGGTTAAGGCTTTAATTGTAGTTGTTTTGACAGTAATCAGACACTCCAACAGTGTCTTTTGTCAGTTTACAGTAACTTCCATTGTTCTTCTAATCACATTGAGGGGAATTTATCAAAACTGGAGCAGACAAAATGTGGAGCAGCTGTGCATGGCAACCAATCAGCTTCTCTCTTTCATTTTCATATCTTAACTGAACAAATTGAACAGAGAAGCTGATTGGTTGTCTGTCTGGGCCACTGCTCCAGATTTTGTCTGTTCCAGTGTTAATAAATGTTCCTCATTGTATTTTTGTTTTTATCCCATCTGACTTGTAGGGTCTGGTGCTTGCAGGATTAGCTGATATGAGGAGACCTCCAGAGAAACTGAGTCCAGCCCAATCTGGTGTACTAATGGCTACAGGTAAATGGCAATGATGAAAAGTACATTACGGTAACCTGCTTTTGGGGGTTTAATAGTGTAACCTAGTGTGTATGTGTGTGTGTATATATGTGTGTATATATTAGTCAGATCGTACTTGCGATCATCACAAGCCCTCCCCGCTGAGGGGAGGGCTTCCAATGATTGCAGTGGAGTGGGCAGTGTACACACCGGCCCGTGCGGCATTAATCTTCCGACCACGCCACCAACCCGCCAAAAATCGTACGATTTTCGGCAGGTTTTCCAGCGTGCGACCTTACAGTAGAAGCGGTCGCACGCTGCCTATACACCTGCCGATTATCGTACGATGGTGGGATCACCCACAACTATCATACGATAATCGGCAGGTGTATGGACACCTTTAGTGTATGTGTATATTAGGCCCCATTCACACCTACAGTATATTTCAGGTGTGATTAGGGATTCCTGTGTCAGGAACTTGCATTTTCCTGCAGCAGGAATCCCTAATCTGCCGTTTACAAGCGGCAACTACCATAAGATAAGAATTATCATAAGATTATTTAAGAGGGTGTGTTTAGGGGCGGAGTTAATGCCAGGGCAGGGTAAGGGTTAGGTGGGGCAACTGGTGGCTAGTGACTCTTAAGGCCTGGCTAGTAGCTCAGGACTTGAAATTTTGAGCCCTGATATATATATATATATTATACATTTCCCCGAAAATAAGAGCTAGTACTATTTTTGGGAATTGCTCAAATATAACACCTACCCCCAAAAGTAAGACCTAGTTGTGACCATTCCCAGGGCCGGTGGTGGCATAAGGGGGAACTTGAAGAACCGCGGAAGAGGCAGGAGAGAATCAGCGGTGCTAGAGGGAGCAGAGCCCCATAAGCCGATGCCTCCTCTATATACCGCCGGCTCCTGTCACAGGTGGAGTGATACCAAATGCACTCCGCCTGTGAGGAATCGATAGTGAAAGTGCGCTTCGCTCATCCTGGCCAGCGATTGGTTAGCAAATTGCTCTTGGAAAGGTACGGCACCCCTGATTGCTCTGATCACCATATTTTTGTACATGAATACATGTAGACTGTTGTACATGAATAAGTGCAGATTGTTGTACATTAAAGACCTAGTGTGTTTTTTTTTTGAGCCACAAAATATATAAGACAGTGTCTTATTTTTGGGGAAACACGATAGGTAAACTGTTGTAAGAGCTAAAATTAATATGCTATATTTCACATGACTGCAATATGTTTAAAATGGATTTCTTGGCAGTACTATATCAGCTATCTCATAGTAGTCACACGCAGTGTCCATCTGCTGTGCCATCTTTTAAATAGTGTAATTGTTCAGTACAGTTGCCTTTATAAAATAATGTCTGCCTTTAATAAAACCAGAGCAGGGTTTATTTTTTTTAAACTCTATAAATAAAAGCCTTGACTATCCTTAAATCTATACAAACTGTCCAGGTATACAAATTATTTACCAAGTTAAGTTAACAGACATGCTGAGGCTGCTAAATTTTGTGTTTGGGGCATCTAGGCATCCATGACCCCTGGTCACCAAAGGGTTTTTTAGGGAAATATTTAGTTTCTTTTATTTTTAGTAACATGACACGGCAGAGTTAACGATGTAAATTACAGAAATAAATAAGGGCTCATTCACATGAGCGCAGAGGTTCATGTACTTGCAAAAACTGACCCGCCTGTACACATTGGTGACAGGCTGTGGCTGTGTGTTGCTAAATTCTGCACTGATTGTATACAACCATACAGGTTCTGATGTACTTCCCGGGACGTGGGCAGTCTGCATCTGGGGGTTTACTTTTGAACCTGTATAGATGTACACACTCGGAGCAGCATTTACCAGCATAAAGACGCAGCATGTCTTTGATTAGTACTGGTGGGCTTCACGCAACACCTTGATTCCGGTTGGTTTTTACGGCCCATGGACCTCTGCGCCCGTGAGAATGAGCCCTGTGAGGGAAAGAGAAGGCTAGAATGTTAAGGAATTAAGGGAGGTGTGCCTACTAGGTTGTTTATCCTCTTGCATAGTTTCCTCATATTCACTAACTTTTTTTTTTTGTGTGTGTATATTTTAAAATGTTCTGACAGGACTGATATGGTCACGCTATTCTCTAGTGATTATACCGAAAAACTGGTCTCTGTTCGCTGTTAACTTCTTTGTTGGCTGTGCAGGAGGTACCCAGCTGTTCAGAATATGGAGGTAAGTAAGCAACACTGATTTTGTTAGATATAGCTTTATTTGGATTAAATAAGAAAAGCATCTATCGGGGCTATCTATGCACAATGTAAATATTCTAATACATTGCTTATAAGAAGTAGCGTCGGTAGGCTTCTGTTACACCTGGGGTGCCCATAGACAGGCATATCTCTCTTTGAGGGAGAAGGGAGGTAAGAGATCTGCCAAGCCTTCTCTAAGATAACTGCAGTAACATGTCTGCAGAGATAACAGAAGTATTGTACTGACACGACTAAAAATCTCCCAGAAATGAAATCTGTACTGTACTGACCCAGCCAGAAATGTGTTGGCTGAGACCCAGTCAGTATTATACTCGGGCAAGTACAAATGTATCTGCAGAAACCTTACTGATATAACCAGAAACCTCTGCAGAGACATATAAATAATTATCTTATTGACCCAAATGGCAGCATGACAGACAGAATCTGTACCATATTGACCAAGGTAGAAACATGTCCACGGTGACAGAATCAGTACTGTACTGTTGGGATGCACCATAATAAAATTTTGAGCCCGAAAATAAAAAAAAATTGTCAGGCCAAAACCGAAAATGATAATTTCTAAATTATTTTATTTTTACTTTACTGTCAAGGGCTCTAGGGGAATATCCGTGTCTAAACAGACCCCTGATATTACCCTTTCAAAATAGAAAAAGAGATGGAGGACACAGAGTCCACAATCTCTTTATCTGCAGCCCCTGTAATGAATGAACAGGAAGCCTCTATATTAATTTTCATTTATACATTGTGGATTTAGTGAGTTACGATCGCCACAATCTTGAATGAACAGGAAGTGATGTAGATAAATTCCCATTCATTCATAACTGGACATAGTAAGCACACTATGTCCAGTTATTTACAAACACTTATGATCAACTGATCGGAGTGTTTGTACGCTGCTCTCCATCTTGAATGGGCTGTCACATTAGGCGGGTGGGCTGTGGGGGAGGAGAGCTCCACCTCCTTTGGCGGATCACAGCGCACTCCTCCAATCACCGCTCTCCATTCTGACACAGGAGGCTGACCCGGGAGTTGTGGTAGGAGAGCTCCGCCTCCTAATAAGACAGCTGTCACCGCCCACACTGCTTGGCATCCTGACATTGCTGTCACCCCTACTCGGCCTCCTAATAGCTTCTCTCCTCCCTGCTGGGCACCAGCCAGTGCATCAGAAAGCACACAAACCGGCGCCCAGCTGGGAGGAGAGAAGCTAGGGATACACTGAATTTTTGGTGGTCATGTTACTTTTGGCAATTTAACAAAAGTGCCGTTTTCTGCCAAAATGTTTCAGCTGCTGAAATTTCGGTGCATCACTCGTACTGATGCATGTAGAATGGTAACAACAGACCAGAAACATGTCCCCAGAGACCCAAGCAGTACTGTACTAACAGTCAGATGTGGGTCCTACAAATTTTTTGTTCAACGCCATGCGCGGAGCATATGCAGCACACTGCGTAGATGTGTGGTTGAGTGAAATTAACTTTGAATGGCAATGCACATCTACAGCATGTTACCATGGGTTGTAGTAACGCACATTATAACATATGCCAAGATGTGCAGTTTAATGCATGTTACAACTTGAACGAGACCTTGGGGCCTATTAACACCATACCAGTATGTCATGGTACATGTATGATTTGCATTAACATGCATTTAAAAGTGTTGATTCATTTAGACGGGCTGAAAATCACACTTGCAGCTTTTTTGGTAGCACAATAGTGGCGGTGTGTTGGGGTGCCATTCAAAAAGAATGGCTCTACAATGCACCGCTAAGTGCACAATGTAGCACTGCATATTGTGCATTACTGCAGTGTGCTGGTGTGAACAAAGCTTTATTTTACAGTTATATTTAAAGTATGTAATATGAATGTAAACATGTGGATCATTTTTTTTTCTAATTATAGCTTTATTTCGATTCAATATTTTAACAACATTTGTATTATTATATATCATCGGATATCAATCGGATGTGCAAGAATCCAGCTTGTACAAAGACGTAGACTGTGTCTGAAGATGGCACCTGCCCGGAAAACATGTTGTGCCCAACTTCTCAGTGGCAATGTTTGCACTGTTGACACTGCAAACCGGGAGTGTGGGACACTCGATAGGGAAAGCATGAGCTGATGGGCACCATTGTTTGTGCTGCTATTGGTGGTGGCGCCCAGCTAATAATGCCTATTTAAGGGTTGCTCTACCCACATGTCGCAAATCATTCTAAAGCCAGTCATATCTCTTTCAAATGCTGAGTAGCATAATATATATACAGTCATGGCCAAAAATATTGGCACCCCTACATTTCTGTCAGATAATGCACCACTTTGCACAGAAAATTGTTGCAATTACAAATGTTTTAGGCATTCTCCTGTTAATTAAAAAAATAACTGAAATCAATCGCTTCCTGTAACCATCAATGAGTTTCTTACACCTCTCTACAGGAATTTTGGACCACTCTTCTTTCGCCAACTGCTCCAAGTCTCTCAGATTGGAATGATTCCTTTTCCCAACTGCTGTTTTGTATCTCTCCACAGGTGCTCTATGGGATTTAGATCTGGACTCATTGCTGGCCATTCCAGTACTCTCCAGTGCTTTCTGAAACAATTTCTGGGTGCTTTTTGACGTATCATTGTCCTGCTGTAAGATCCATGACCTCTGATGGAGACCCAACTTTCTGACACTGGGCCCTACATTGCACCCCAGAAATCTTTGGTAGTCTTTAGATTTCATAATGCCTTGCACACAGTGGAGACATCCAGTGCCTGAAGCAGTAAAGCAACCCCAAGACATCAGTGAACCTCCACCATGTTTGACTGTAGGGACTGTATTTTTTTTTTCTTTAAAGGCCTCATTTCTTTTTCTGAAAACAGTAGAATGGTGGGCTTTACCAAGATGCTGTAATTTTGTTTCGTCTGTGCACAGCACATTTCTTCTAAAGGATTTTGGCTTCCTCAGGTAAGTTTTGGCAAACTCCAATCTGGCTTTTTTATGTTTCTGTGTCAGCAGTGGGATTCTCCTGGGTCTCCTACCATAGTATCCCTTTTCATTCAGATGGCGACGTATAGTGCAAGCTGACACAGTTGTACCCTGTGCCTGAGGGTCAGCTTGAATTTGTCTGGAAGTTGATCGAGGGTCTTTATCCACCATTCGAACAATCCTTTGTTGCAATCTTTGATCAATTGTTCTCTTTCATCCACATCCAGGGAGATTAGCTACAGTGCCATAAGATTTAAACTTCTTGACAATGTTGCGTACATTGAACACAGGAACAATAAGATCTCTGGAGATAGACTTGTAACCTTGAGATTATCCATGCTTTGCCACAAAAACTTGGAATGCAATTAGGAGAAGGTGCCAATAATTTTGTCCAGTCCATTTTTGGAGTCTTGAGTGGAATGTGTCAGGTTTGGCTTTTTTTTTGTCATACCAATACAAACAAAAGAAATAAACATGAGAATGCCTAAACATTTGTATTTGCAACAATTTTCTGCGCGAAGTGGTGCATTATCTGACAAATGCCTGGATGCCAATATTTTTGGCCATGACTGTATATATATTTTTCTTTGGGTTCCCTTTCTTAGAAGGTGCCATCCTTGGAGATTACTGCTTTTCCACATCTCTTGTAATAAATACAAAGATGCATGGGTGTCCTTTCCTTCACTTCTATTGAGCTATTTCTCATGGTATACACACACATCTTCTTGATCAATTTAGTTACAGTGGAGCCTGCTTGAGTTGAATAAGAAGTAGTCTGGGCCTTTTGCACACATTGGCCATATGTGTGGTCCTAATTGCTAATAACACAGTTTGCACATTAGCTACCTCCTATGAATAGGTATTAGTTACCTCTATGAATAAGCCTACGGGTGAAACATGTAGAGGTTGTAGCTGTTTGGGGGTTTGCGGTGCTGGTATTTGCTGCTTTTATACACTTTTTTTTTTTTTTATTCACTGTTTACTGGATTTGCTGTGAATTTCAATAAGGTCTGAAGTATTGGAATTCTATGGATAGTGCGGTCTGTTTTGTATACTACTTGCACATTAGCTAGTTACTGTCCCTTTTAACGATGCATGATAATTTTACAAATTGTGGTGTGTACATACACTGCATACATTCCATGAAGGCTGTGCTCCTTTTAGATTCACTTTTTTCCTTTTCTTCTTATTTTAGGTACCATCAAGAACTAAAAGTAAATGCCATTGAAGATCAACCGAAAGCAGAGCCATGAACAATATTGCCTAAACATAATTTTTAATATCTAAGAAGACAAGCAGTAGATATTATTTTCCGGTACAGCTGAAGGTTTTGCTGTACTGTTAAAAAATAACATTAAATGGTTTATTGGACTGATTTTTATAAACAATAATGTTCTTCCTTAAATTAATAAACTTAACTTTTAACAGTGTTAGATGACCCATTTTTTTGTGATCTGATCATTCTGCGGTATTGAATGGAGTGTTTCAGAGGTCTCTTCAGACATACATTTACAGTATATCGGCTTCAATCATACAGTTTCTTCATAAGAAGATAAAGAATACTCTTCTTTACGGTAGTATAGATGTGTATTGGACTGGACACAAACCTTTTTACACTATGGTATTTTTCATCATTATTATAAAAGATTTATATAGCGCCAACATTTTGCGCAGTGCTTTACAAAATGGAGGGAGACAATACAGTTAACACAATTTCAATACAAGAGGGTTAGGAAGGCCTTGTTCGGGAGAGCTGACAATCTAGTAGGAGTGGCAAGTGATTTCTAAGCAAAGCATAATTGTTCTTTTGCCTGCTGTGTACATAAAATATGATGGGCCCATTTACACTTTTCTGATGCCGTGTGTTTCAATAACGCCCGCATTAAAACAGAAGTAAAACTTTATAACTGGGCTTTTTTCTGTTGGCATTTCTTTTTTTTTGTGCACTGAGCGGCACATGCACAGCTCGGCACTCAGTTCCGGCATGCTAAGATTAAGTAATACCTATGCGCATGTGAAATTAAAGATAACCACGTGGTGACATTACTGCTATGCAGCCTTCCAGAGTCATACAGAGCTCTTATTAACGCTCTAGAAACCAGAACTGAGCAGGAACTAACACTAGAATACATCAAAGGAAAGTTTATCGATGACTATGACAGAAGGAAAGAAAATGTGTAGAATGTAGAAAATGATAAAGCCCTTAAGGTGCATGAGAATGCAAAGCAAAACAAAGAAAGCAGAGCGTGTCTTTGCGGTAAAAAAAAAAAAAAACTGGTCACCTGAAAAAGGACTGTTTAATCCGTAGGTTCGAGTATACTACGTGTCTTGGCAGTATATGACAGCTTGTGGGGGTGGTATCCCCCTGAGAGGATCTTCTAATTTCAGGTTGTTCAGCAGAATTTAACATGGAATTTGACTTATCCATTGTGAGTTCCACTTCTTGTTCTGACTCCTGTGCGGCTTCACTTTGCTCCGCTTCCTTTGCTGGTTCACTGGGCAAATTCACTTCACAACTTCCTGGGATCATTGTTTCTGGTGATGGGTTCTCATAGAAATAAACACTGAGCCTTATTGTCACTTTGTCAGTCTTTGGGTTTAGGATTGTGTGTCCCTTACGTTGTTCACTAAAGCCTACCAGAATACCTTCAATGGCTGTGTTCTCCAATTTGTATCGCTTCTCATTTGGTATATAGGCATACGCTTCACATCCAAACACTCTGATGTGCCCTAAGCTAGGCTTCGATCCATGCCACATTTCAAATGGGGTGCTTTCAACGACTTTTAAAGTTCATGTGTTCTGCAGGTATGTTGCAGTCATGACTGCTTCTCCCCAGTACTTCTCATGTAGGTTGTTGTCTGACAGCATGTATCTGATGATATAATGATACTCTGCTTGTCCCCTGACTGTGTGATGCAATTCAAGAATCCTTGACCGTTGCCTTCCGCAGTAATACTTTTCCCATTTGCCAAGAAGACTTTTGTCCTTTGCACTGAAATCAATTTCTGTAAAAAAAAAAAAAGGTCTCATCAATAGTCATGTGACTTGTTGCGCCTGAGTTAATATACCATCTGCGTGATATTCTGTTCTGAGTCACTTTAAAAGGTAGTGCTCCATAGTTGTAGTATTTGGGGCTAAATAAAGACACAGCCCCATCAAGTTCAACCTTATGTGTAAGTGTGTGCGTGTATGTGAGTCCCTGTGTGGTCCTAGGTTTTATGAGTACCTGTACCCCTAATATGTTATTGTCTTTGAGGAAGGTATCTAATTGATTTTTGAATGATTCAATACTCTCCGCTGATACCTCTGCTTGTGGCAGAGAGTTCCAAAATGTAACCGCTCTGACTGAAGAGAAGCCCCTACAACCTTTGTGGTTAAATCTTTTCTCCACCAATTTTAGGTGGTGGCCTCTAGTATTTGTTAAGGAGTTTACTGCAAAACGTTTACGGCCGATGGTGCCATCACCTTGTCTCATAGCTTAGATCTTCCAGCCCCTTAATTTCGTTTTGTTGCCCTTCTCTGGACTCTCTCCAGCTCTAGGACATCTTTTCTGTGGATTGGTGACCAAAAGTGGACCGCAGTTGAGGTTGAACCAGCGATCTATACAGTGCAAAAATTATCGCTTTGTCTCCACAGTACATTCCCTTTTTAATACAAGACAGTGCTCTGCTCGCTTTATTTGCAGCAGCCTGGCATTGCAAGCTATTATTCAATCTGTGGTCTACAATGACCCCAAGATCTTTTTCCATTTCTGACTTCCCTAGTGGAGTTCCCATTAATGTGTATTCCCTTGCCTCTTTTTAACCCCAAAATGCATTACTTTACATTTTATCAGCATTGAACCTCATCTGTCATGTAGTCGCCCACTCCCCTATTTTATCCAGGTCCTCCTGTAATGTTATAATGTCTAAGTCCGTGTCTATTACCCTCCCAATTTTAGTATCATCTAAAAACACAGAAACAATGCTATTAACACCCTCCCGATGTCATTAATAAACAGGTTAAATAATATGGGGCCTAGCACAGAACCCCGGGGCACATCACTCTCAACCATAGTTACATGATGTGCCTGCAGTTTCCTTTTCTCTTGTAGATGCCTCTCGCTTTCTCAGCTCACCTCTACGGATTGAACAGTCCTTTTTCAGGTGACCCGTTTTTTTTTTTTTACTGCAAAGACACTCTGCTTTCTTTGTTTTGCTTTGCATTCTCATGCACCTTAAGGGCTTCTCCAAATTTTTGGGAGTATCCCTTGGCAACTAACCTGGCAAAGGCAAGAAAGGCAGCAGAAGAAAAAAAATCACTCCAAAAAAAATAAAACCTGGGACACTCGCAGAGCTTCCCCCCCGATTTGCAGAACTATAGGAAACAAATGGACTTTTAAGGTGACGCTCAATGCAGAAGTAAATATCCACAAAAACAAGGCCAGATTAGTTGCCAAGGAATACTCCCAGAAATATGGAGAAGACTACGATGAAACTTTCGCTCCTGTAGTAAGACACCGCTTTCCTATATGGAGACATTAGGGAAGATCTCTTCATGGAGCAACCACCAGGGTTTGAACAAGGAGACAATCTTGTGTGTAAACTCCACAAAAGCATCTATGGACTCAAGTAATCTGCAAGAATGTGTAATGAGAGGGTGAATGAAATACTCACGAAAGAGGGATCTACAAGAAGCAAAGCAGACCCCCGGTCTTTATTCCAGAAATCAAGAAGACCGATGGATATACATCCTAATTTACATTGATGACATTATAACCTGTTTTGAACAAGAAGAGGACTATAGTCAAATAGTTCACATACTAAAACAAAAGTTTGAAATGATCTATCTGGTCACTGTCAGTCACTATCTGGGGATTCAAATAGAGAGAGAAGAAGATGGAAGCTGTCTTCTCAACCATAGTCAGAAAATTGCAGAAATTTTGGAACAATTCCACATGCAAGATGCAAAGCAAGTAAAAACAATACTTAAAAGGAACAATTCAGATAAAGTTAGGACTGCCAGCAATGTCAAATCCAAAAATAGTTGGATATGCGGACGCCGATTGGGTCGGAGACAAGCTCACCCTTAATCATAAGGAAAGTTTGAGCACTGTACCGAGCACCTATAAAAACCAAAATGGTGAGACAAACACTAAAAGCAAACTCCAGGCAAAGTAACATACCATGCTATGGGATGGTGATCTACACATAGGGGGCTCAGCCTGGAGTTGGGTTTTCACTTAGTTCAAAGAAATCTTGCAAAGCTTACAAGGATCCAGCCCTTGAAGCACACAGCCTGGTCTTATACCTAGTGTACCTGTTCACAAACACCACTTTTAAACCATATACTGTGCGGGGGAAGCCACTCCATCATACAAAGGCCTGGAAAGCTGTATTCAAAAAACACATATGTAACAAAAAGTAAATACTAAGCGATCAAATTACATATCCTCCCAAAATGTGCTTGTTTTTATTATCTGTTGTGTGGGAGAGAGTCTTTTGGAATATTTATTCTTGATGCTTTGTATTTGTATATTTTATTATATGTATCTTTTGAATAAATGTTTCCATACTTTGTGCTATACTAGAGTGAAAGAGATGACATTTGTTTTAGAGATTACATTTCTTTAAGGGTTTACTGCCACACCTGGGAGCAAAGTCTGATATTTCCATTCTAGACCCCATTCACACGTGGGCATCTCATAAATGCGTGTCAAACGTGCACAAAAATGAGAAATGTACTTGCTGTGCCATTACCAGCTAATGGCAAACATGGCCGGGATGATGCACATTTTCCCCCCAAATATGCATGCATTAAAATGTACACAAATGTGGGGGGGGGTTACAGATTTTGCTAAATGCACTACTTTTCCACATTTGTTGTGTGTACAGGAACCCATTGAAATCAATGGAGAAGTGTGGCAAATGCGGAAAACAAACACACGTCCCTGCTATACTCAGGTATGAATGGAGCATTAGGGATCACAGTGACAGCAGAGGAGCAATTCTGATACATTAGTTTTAGGGATCACAGTGACACCTTGTGATAAAATTGAGGTATAGCAGTTTGGAAAACTTAAGCGGTCACCACTGGGATGTAATATTTATCTTCTGGATTTACTTCTATTGATCCCTGGATTAAGAAGACCGCATTCCATAAGGGACATTTTGATGTTTATGTGACTTTTAAACACAGTATTTTGAGATCAGGCTCTATTTAGGTATTTGTGCAAACTATGGCGACAATCTAGCACAATGTGATATATCTATATCTATATCTATATCTATATCTATATCATATATATAAATATATAAAATCCCTTTTGCAGTCACTGTGGTGCTAACTTTAGGATGTGAGAGAGTGTGTATTTACAATGGTGTTGCTGGGTTTGGAGAAGAGTGTAAAATATTTGGAAGGATACCACACCCAGAGATGAGTAACATCATA